AGAGGCCCTCAAGAAGCTCCCCAGAAGGCCGAAGAGGTTCCAAGAAGCATTGTCTTCCCATCGGCTTTTGATGGATTTTAGAGTTCCCAGCCTTTTGACATCCCGACGCTCCAAGACGGCCCAAGTGGCTCCCAAGACCGCTCAAAGATAGCCGAAGAGGCCTCCAAGAGGGACCCAAGACGGCCCACGAGGGCCCCAAGACGGTGCCCGAGGCGCCCAAGACGGCCCCAGAGGGCTCCAAGAGGGCACCAAGAGAGCCCCAAGAAGGGGAACGCGAACCCAACAGCAGAGCTTTCCGCCCTAAGAGGCCCACAGGAGGCCCCAAGAGTCCCCAAGTGGTCCGACGAGGCCCCCCAAAGCCCCCCACCAGGTCCCAAAAGGCTCACAGGAGACGTACACGGGGCCCCAAGATAGCCGAACAGTGTTCTCGATGCATCAAAATTGCTTCAAGGAGGCCCCGAGAGGCCTCCGGATTGCCCCAATGTGGCCTCAAGCCGGGCCTCCACGCAGCCAAGACGGCCAATCGACTGCTTCAGACTGCAGAACATCACTTTCCGACTGCCCGGAGAACCCTGACGATGCCCCCAAGGGACCCCAAAAGAAAAAAAAAAAAAAAGAAAAAAATAAAGATAAAAAAAACAAAATAAATTAGAAAGAAAGTACGAATAAAATAAAAAAAGAAGGAAAAAAAAAGAAGGACTAAAAAAAAAAATAAAACGAATGAAACAAATAAAAAGGAAGCAAAAAAAAAAAGCCCCAAGATCCTCCTCCGAGAAAGAAAGAGAGCAAGGCAAGCATAGCACCCAGACGGGTGTTGGTGGGCCCTCCAAACAGCCAAGAATGAGGAAGGCCACGAGGAGAGAGGAGAAGAGAGAGAAAACCCCCCCAGAAGCCCTTCAGATGCCCCCACGAAGACCCAAGAAGTTCCCAAGAGGCCCCCAGGAGGCACGACTATGTCACGCGCCTGTGCTTGATAGCTCTGTCCAAGATCTTTAGCCCGCCCCCGGCCTGGGCTAGAACCTGAGCGCGCGCGAAGCGCGCGCGATGTCTGTATGTATGTATATGTATATGTATCGGTCGTGTCTCTGTGTGGTCTCTCTCTCTCTCTCTCTCTCCCTCGTCCCCTCTAATGTAGGCTTTGTGGAGGTTTCTTGGGTGTTTCTTCGGAGCTTCTAGCGAAAATATTGTGGCCCTCTTGGGGGGCAGTTGGGGGCCCGTCGAGGGTCTCGGCGTCGTCTTGGGAGTGACGGCTCTACCGAGCTCTCCCGACAAGATTCGGTTGAATCATCTTGGGGACCTCTGAGCGCATGTTGGAGCCTTTTTGGATTGTTGTCGGATGATATCTGGAATGCTTCTGGCCCTCTCGGGTCCCCCTTGGGGCTGTCCTGGGGGCGTCGAGGGGCTCGTCCTCATATCGTATTTCGTTGGTTGGGTTTGTTCTGTTCGGGCTTCACTGGAGGGCCTCAGGAAGCCTCTGAGCTACATCTGGGAGCCCTTGGGGTGTCGTCGGGCCGTCTTGGACTTGGGGCCGAAAAGGGCGCCCGGAAGCGAAGTTGGTGGTTTGGGGGGCGATTTGCCAGGGGTGGTGGAAAAGAAGCGGGAGTAGCCCTTGGAGTATGACCTACACGTTCTCAGACAATCAAAAGACGGTCTAATGCGGCCCCACGTGATAAAGCCATGGTGGCGATCGATTGACAGCACAAGAGAGAGGGAGGTGAAGAAAGGTTGGGCGGAAAAATGGGGGAGAGAGAGAGAGAGGGAGGGGGGGCAGAAACTACGACAACACACGTACGCACGCACGCACGCACGCGCCAGCACATATATACACACACGAACACACACACACACACACACACACACACACACACACACACACACGCGCGCACATGCACACGCACTTGCACTCGCACTCGCACACGCCGCACGCACGCACGCACGCACGCCCGCCCGCCCACCTGCCCGCACGCACACACACGCACACACACACACAAACAAACAAACAAACAAACAAACAAACAAAGAAACAAACGAACACACACACACACATACATACATACATACATACATACATACATACATACATACATACATACATACATACATACATACACACACTTTGGTCGGTGGCGGCCTCGCGCGCAGCGACGAGGCGGAGAAAGTGCAACAGTCGCAGCGCGCGCGGCGGCTAGGCGCTCAACATCGCTTTGGATGCAAACCTGACGGCATCGACCATCTGAGCATAGATGGCAGGGAGGGTACACGCAGGACCATGGGAGAGATTCCCCACGGCCGCGCGGGAGTTGAGGAACGCCATAAGCTGTCCGGGCGTGAGCAGCGAGGAGAAAATTGCACACCGGTGAGGCTGCACCACGGCGACTTGAGAAAAGCAAAGGGAGCGGCAAACAACCAAAAACAACAAGAAACAAAAGGGAGGTCCCAGAGCAGGCGCAAAGCGAGAAGAGGAAGGCGAGGCGGGAGGCGAAGGAGAGCACAGGCAGGGGCAGGAGAGGCGGGCACGGAAGCCGAGCTCGGCGCGGGCCCAGCGCTGAAGAATGCCAAGGACGGACCTAATGCCGAGCCCGCCGACCCCGCCCCCTTCCGGGGCGACAGGCGGGCCGCTTCTGGGAGGAGGCGGCTCCGCTGCCCGGCACAGGAGGCCTGGCGCGGGAGGGAGCAGGTGAGGCAGCAATGGCAAGGATAGGGGAATGTTGTCGAGGAATTCGCCGAGAGCGATGGCTGAGAAATCGGTAGGTGCAGCGTCCTCGAAGGTGGTGTGCTGGTGGCCCTCGGCAAGCCAGGACCTCTGCTTCGTGCGCGCGAAGGGAGCACCCCCCATTCCCCCTCGAGCCAGTGGCCAAGCGGCGCTGCGCAGGGCAGGGCTCTGGAGAGCCGGCTGGCGAGCTGGGCTTGGGCGCACGGCGCGCCTTCGGTGGCGGTGGAGGCGTGGCAGAAAGAGGAGCAAGGGGCGGGCAGGAAGAGGGGCAAGGGCAGGTGGTGGCGGCGCAGGACATGCAACGGGAGCGACAGCCACGGGCAGGTGGTCGGGGGCGGGATCGTCGCCGTAGAGATGCCCTTGGGGCGGCGGTGGGGGTGGTGGTGGTGGTGGGGCGGGGGTGCTGGGCAGGCGGCGCTCTGGCACCGTGGGCCGACCGCAGGGAGCCCCGGGGCCCGACCCGCCGGAGGACGCCGCGCTGCCGCCAAAAAGCTGCGGCGTCCACGAGGAGTTCCCCGAGCACCAGTCGGCTCGGGGAGGGAATCCCGCGACCAGAGCCGTCAGCGAGCCCACTCCCGAGCGTCCCCTGTGCAACCCGACCCCAGGGAGGGGCACCGTCGCTGCCGTCCCCGAGGTCCATAGTCCGCGGACTATGGACCCCAGGACGGTGCTTTTAGGGACGACCAAGGCCGAGGCGCGCGAGCGGGCCCCGGGGAGCCCAGGGCACGCGGCCAGAGGGGAGCCCCGAGCCTAGGGCGAGGGCCCTTGAGCGGGGAGGCTCCCCCAAACGGCTTGAGCCAAAGGCTACGGACACACACACACACACACACACACACACACACACACACACACACACACACGCGCGCGCGCACACACACACACACACGCGCGCGCGCACGCGCACGCACGCGCGCGCACACACAGATGGGGGAGGAGGGAGGCGGAGATAGTCATACAGAGGGAGAGAGGCAGAGAAGCGGACACAGAGGGAGAGAGAGAGAGAGAGAAGCGGACAGCAGGTTCAATGTCGATCCAATCGATCCAGTTCGATATCGGATCCAGCCATTTCGATGCGAGCCGATTCGGATATTCCGACGATACGATGCGGCTCGATGCTTGCACGGCACTGTTGTACAGTTTGGCGCGGCCGATCCCATTCGATTTCGTGTCGATGCGAGCCGACCCCACGCACATTCCGATCCAATTCGATTTCCCGACTCGGTGCTGACTGATCTTGGACAGAGAGGAGAGGTGGTGGCGGCCTGCCACCTCTCCCCTCTCTCCTCTTCCAGGCCTGCGGGCCCGCCGGCCGATGAGTTTGGAGAGTTGGGGGCGGCCAAGAGGGGGGGGCGATGAGCACGCGGCGGCGACCCAGCCGTTGGCATTCGAAGTTGAACGCCGTGGTCCAGAATCGGCCAACATGGACCGACCTGTGGGACGTTCCAGAAAGGGCCTCGCATTCGAGGATCGAAGGAGTTGGCACCTCCTCCTCGGCAGAGGGCGGCCGAAGGGCGACCGAAGCCCGCGGAAGTACAGCGAGGGCGGCTCCGTCGGCGGAAGCTCGGCGGAAGCCAGCGGATGCACAAGTTGCCCCCCCGATAGATGCCAATCTGTTTGGGTTCAGGGTTTCAGGAACCCGCCATAGCATGGTGGAGGCCATGGTGTCTCCCAGATCTCATGCCCCCCTTTCTTCTTTCAAGTCACTTCGTGGCCACCCCTGGGCCGCGCACATGCCTCGGGCGATGATTTGCGAGCCCCCTCTCGGGGACGCCCCGCTTTTTGGACGCCCCCGAGAGAAGGCACGGAGAAGAGGGCGAGGTGGAGAGGCGGCTCGTCGGATGGCTCCCTCGCTCAACCCCTCCAAGAGCCACTTCGACTCTGTCGAATCGAATCGATTCGGTGTCGGGGATTCCGATTTCGATTCGATTCGTCTCTCGATGTCGACTTTGGTTTGGATTTCCTCGTGAATGCCTCTGCTTGGGCTGGTGGACGTCGATTCGATGCTTTCCGATCTCCTTCCGATTTCTGCGGGTTCGATGTATTTCGATATCAGGTTCGATGTTCCAGTTCGATTTGGAGTCAGTCTGCCCTCCGCCGCAGCGCGGCACGTACTACTGGCCAGACGGTCCTCCACTGTACGTTGCGGGGCAGCCCCGCTGATGCTGCGCGGTGCTCATGTGGGGTCGGGAGGGGCATATACCAACGAAGACAAGGCAAGAGACAAAGCAACAAAAGTGCAGCCAAGCCCAGCGCACCGCGCGCGCGCACTGGCGAGCGCACACGCCGCATGGCGGGCGTGGTGCAGACGGCCGCTGCCGGCGCTGCCGTTGAGGAGGGCATTGGGGGTCGCCGTGGGCGACGACGACCACAACGAAGACGACGACGACCATGACGGCGACCATGTTGCGAAAATGTGATCTAACACGTTGCTCCGAACTTCATTTGTTTCCCATCTCCCTCATACCCGCCCACTAATATTATTCTATAAACCAAATCCCGAGCAGCGGCCTTAGGTGTTGTACCGTCGCACCCCTGTCGCCAGGAGGCAGCGGCGGTCGTCACGGCCCCGGAGGCCGCAGAGGCGCTGGAGATCGTGGAGGCTGCGGGGGCTCAGGAGGCGATGGAGATTGCGGAGGCTCAGGCAGCCCGGCCCTGGGAGGCCGCCGGAGCCCAGGAGGTGCTGGAGGTTGAGGAGGCCGAGGCGCCCGAGGACACCGAGCGCTCTGACCAGGAGGCGGCAGCGGCATTAAAAAAGTTGCTCGCGTGCTGGGTCAAAGGTATGGGCAATGAGCAGGAACGGTGCGTTGGGTGCTGCCCCGCTGGGTTCTGGTGGGTCGTCGGAACGGCCTTCCTTCTCTTGCATCCGAGGCCACGTCGCGATCTCCCTGAGCCGGGTAGAAGGCAAGGCCACGCATGCCCACATTGGAGTAGATGTTTCTTCAAATAGCCCGCCCCTGAAAGGGCATCCGCATCAGAGATGGGAGGGGGTGCATCTTTAAACTGGCGGTTTCAGCAGAGGGTTCGTGGAATTTGGCGGGCCCTAAACGGATAGAGGTCTCGCGTTGTGGCCCTCGGGATCCCCGAGTTCGCCCGCGTTTCCTAGCTATCCGCAGAAGGCATTTGTACGCCGCCATGCCTGCGCCTGACCAGCGCCATCCCGGGCCCCGAGTTGGTGTGTAGTGTAGAACCCACTTGGCCTCGACCAGAGGGGCGGCCCGGTTTCGGGGCCGAATCCCCTCCCTGCGTTTTAAAAGATGTTGTTGTGTGGGAGGCGGAGCGCGTCGTCAGCTTGCTGCTGGTATCGGCAAGATATGCCTGCTTTGTTTTTCCTCGGCGCTGCCTCCCCTCTCCTCTCCTCTTTCTCTCTCTCTCTCTCTCTCTCTTTCTCTTTCTCCCTCTCTCTCTCTCTCTCTAACTCTCTCCGCCGTCCTCAGCCTAAACATCAGCCTAAGCCTAGCCTAAGCCTCAGCCTAACCTAGCTTAAGCCCCAGCCAAAATCTAGCCGAAATCTAGCATAAGCCTCAGCCTAGCCTCTGCCTCTGCCTCTGCCTGGCCTGAACCTCAGCCTACGCCTAAGCACCAGCCGCCGCCTAGCCTAAGCATCAGCCTGAGCCAGCCTAGCCGAATCCCATCATAAGCCTCAGCCTCGCCTAAACCTCAGCCTCAGTCTAAGCCTCAGCCTAACATCAGGCTCAGCCTTAGCCTCGGCCTAAGCTTAGCCTAGGCCTCAATACTGCACTGCTCCTCCAGCCACCATGTTACCATCACTACTGCACCAGAGTTTTACTTTGATTTCAACAGCATGTTACAAGAACAGTACTACTACGGCATTGCAGTACTAGGGTACGGCTACCCTGCTTGAGCACTCCAATGTTAGAGCTCAACTACTACTACTGCCCATATCAGAGTACTACTCGTACAGATCTAGAGTACCACGACTGCAGTGCTACTGTCCCAGTGCCGTACTACGAGTTTTACAGTGACACGACTACAGCACTACAGCACTATGATGCTACAGCCGTGTTGCGATAATACGGCATTTTATAATTCCTATTACAGTACTGTAGTACACGCACTGCAGACAACCGTACAGCACTGCTCATACGAACACTGCGTCAGAGCCCTGCTTCTACAGCGCCACTACTACACTACAATACAGCACGACCCCAAAAGAGCACAGGACTTTTCTTACAGTATTACCACTAAACCATGACAGTCCGAGGCTACAGCAAACACTAAGGAGTACACGACTCACTGCAAGACCTGAGTACACTGCAACTACAGGGCTACCACAATGCTGCCATTTCATTGATGCAATACGACTACTGGCTTAGAAGGGCATCAAAGTACAACCAGTACAGCACTAGAGTACCACTACTGCGGTACTACTGCTACAGTCTTGTATTACGGCTACGAACACAGCATTACAGTATTATAGTACTACATCAATGCTGCGATACTACAGTATCTGGAAAATTTTAACTACAGCACAATAGTACACTTACTGCAGGCAATCGTAGAGTAGTGCTCGTACGAATACTGTTGTAGAGTACTGCGTCTACAGTGCCGCTGCTGCAACAGTACAGCACGATTCCCCAATGTCAAAGCGCCCTTCCTACAAAACCTACCGCTAAACCACTCGAGTTCGAGGATACGCTTACCTTGATCGAGCATTGCAGTGGTGGACTCTTCCTACAACACGGCAGTGCGAATACTGAAGCCAGCAGTAGACTATGACATTTACTGCCTGGGTACGACTACTACTACTACTACTACTACTACTACTACTACTACTACTACTACTACTACTACTACTACCACTACCCTTACTACTACTACTACTACTACTATTACTACTACTACTACTACTACTACTACTACTACTACTACTACTACTACTACTACCACTACTACTACTACTACTACTACTACGACTACTACTACTACTATTACTACTACAAATGCTACTAGGACGGCTACTACTAGTACTCTTACAGCTACAACTACAGGACTATTTCAGTGCTGTCACTGCTTAATGCAATACGACGATTGGCGAAGCACGGTACCAACGTGTCACCAATACACTACTAGAGCACCAATATTGCAGTATCCTTGCTAGAGCACTGTTCTACGACTAGTACAGCGCCACCGCTACAGCACAACAGCACTAAAATACTACAGCAGTGCTGCGATACTGCGGCACTGGAATATTCCTGCCGAGGTATAGTACACCCACTGCAGGGGAGGCGGTGAGGGGAGGAATGGGAGGTGTCGGGGGGATGGGAGACGGGGAGGAGGGGGGAGGGGGGGGGGGTGCAAAAATTATCCTGGCGAAAGACCCAACCATAAGCAATTGTTGGTAACGCGTTGTGGGTGCCGCTTTCGGTGGGGCTCCATATGGGGCCACGAAGCGCTGCCTTGGATGGGGGAACCGCATGCGGACTGCGCCACCGGGGCGGGCCTTCGGTGGAGCTCCCTATGGGGCTACGAAACGCTGCCCTGGGTGGGGGAACCGCATGCGAACTGCGCCACTGGGGCCTTCGGTGGAGCTCCCGATGGTGCCACGAAACGCTGCCCTGGGGGGGGGAAGCGCATGCGAACTGCGCCACGGGGGCTTTCGGTGGAGCTCCCCATGGGGCCACGAAGCGCTGCCCTGGGTGGGGGAACCGCATGCGAGGGCAGCCACTGGGGCCTCCGGTGGAGCTCCCTATGGGGCCACGAAACGCTGCCCTGGGTGGGGGAACCGCATGCGAACACCCCCACTGGGGCCTTCGGTGGAGCTCCCTATGGGGCTACGAAACGCTGCCCTGGGTGGGGGAACCGCATGCGAACACCCCCACTGGGGCCTTCGGTGGAGCTCCCTATGGGGCCACGAAACGCTGCCCTGGGTGGGGGAACGCATGCGAACTGCGCCACTGGGGCCTTCGGTGGAGCTCCCTATGGTGCCACGAAACGCTGCCCTGGGTTGGGGAAGCGCATGCGAACTGCGCCACGGGGGCTTTCGGTGGAGCTCCCCATGGGGCCACGAAACGCTGCCCTGGGTAAGGGAACCGCATGCGAACACCCCCACTGGGGCCTTCGGTGGAGCTCCCTATGGGGCTACGAAACGCTGCCCTGGGTGGGGGAACCGCATGCGAACACCCCACTGGGGCCTTCGGTGGAGCTCCCTATGGGGCCACGAAGCGCTGCCCTGGGTGGGGGAACCGCATGCGAACACCCCCACTGGGACCTTCGGTGGAGCTCCCTATGGGGCTACGAAACGCTGCCCTGGGTGGGGGAACCGCATGCGAACACCCCCACTGGGGCCTTCGGTGGAGCTCCCTATGGGGCCACGAAACGCTGCCCTGGGGGGGGGAACCGCATGCGAACACCCCCACTGGGGCCTTCGGTGGAGCTCCCTATGGGGCTACGAAACGCTGCCCTGGGTGGGGGAACCGCATGCGAACACCCCCACTGGGGCTTTCGGTGGAGCTCCCTATGGGGCCACGAAACGCTGCCCTGGGTGGGGGAACCGCATGCGAACACCCCCACTGGGGCCTTCGGTGGAGCTCCCTATGGGGCCACGAAACGCTGCCCTGGGTGCGGGAACCGCATGCGAACACCCCCACTGGGGCCTTCGGTGGAGCTCCCTATGGGGCCACGAAACGCTGCCCTGGGTGGGGGAACCGCATGCGAACACCCCCACTGGGGCCTTCGGTGGAGCTCCCTATGGGGCAACGAAACGCTGCCCTGGGTGGGGGAACCGCATGCGAACACCCCCACTGGGGCCTTCGGTGGAGCTCCCTATGGGGCTACGAAACGCTGCCCTGGGTGGGGGAACCGCATGCGAACACCCCCACTGGGGCCTTCGGTGGAGCTCCCTATGGGGCCACGAAGCGCTGCCCTGGGTGGGGGAACCGCATGCGAACACCCCCACTGGGGCCTTCGGTGGAGCTCCCTATGGGGCACGAAACGCTGCCCTGGGTGGGGGAACCGCATTGTGGACACCCCCACTGGGGCCTTCGGGGGAGCTCCCTATGGGGCTACGAAACGCTGCCCTGGGTGGGGGAACCGCATGTGGACCCCCCCACTGGGGCCTTCGGTGGAGCTCCCTATGGGGCTACGAAACGCTGTACTGGGTTGGGGGGGGGGGGGGGGCGAGAACGCATGTGGACACCACCACTGGGGCCTTGGTGGAGCTCCCTATGGGGCCACGAAAACGCTGCCCTGGGTGGGGGGAAACCAGCAGTGGACACCCCCACTGGGGCCTCGTGTGGAGTCCCTATGGGGCTACGAAACGCTGCCCTG